AATATTTTTAGAAGTATTGTCTAAAATAATAATATAATGTTTTAAAACCGGAATTTCTTGAATCCAAATGAAAATTATTGTTTTAAATAAAATAAAAATCTGATCGTAAACTCCGTTCCAATTTTCACCCTTATTTAATAATCTAAAACTCAACATTTTTTTTCAAAATAAATTCAAAAATATTGTTTAAAAAAATCATAATATTGTCTAAAAAAATAATGGTGTACATGTGTTTTAAATCGGCATTTTTGGAAATTGAATGAATATATTATTTTAAAATAAAATAAAAATTCGATCAAGCTAGGCAGCATAAGAAAACTGCTTACCAATTTTCACCCATATTGAATGATTTAAAACTCGACATATTGTCTCACAATTGGGATTTTTGGAATTGCCTAGAGGTGAAAATTGGAATGCAGATTTCTAATTCCCCAATTCCTATCGGGTTTTTTATTTTGGTTTGAAAGGATATTATATAGTTGAATTCCAAAAATGCCGATTTTGGAACAATATTTTAAATTTTTAGACTATATTTTGATTTTTAAACAATATTTCCGAAACGAGTTGATTTTTTTGGAATTTACGTGATTTCGATTTTATATTAAATTTTAATTAAAAATAATAATTATAAAAATTATGTTTTAACAACGCCATGCGTGTTGTTGAAAGTTTTCATGTAGTGTTGTAAATTGAAGGCATGTGAGAGGCACATGCCATTTTCCATCCAACTTAACTGCAAAAATTATTGGCGGACCAATTCTGTCAAAAAATGGCATGATTAAGGACTACTATTGTAACTCCAAAATGTTTAGGGACAATTTTGAAAAAGTGAGTAAAGTATGAGGACGAAAAATATAATTTTCCCGATTAATGAATGAAGTTAGGGTGCATTTGGATGGAGGGATTTGGGGGAGGGATTTCAAATCCATAATAACAAATCCCTCGGACTTGTTTGGATTGAGGGATTTGGAGATGGATTTCAAATCCCCACCCCTCCTTTTTAGTTGATTTTGGAGCAATAATGATGGATTTCAAATGACTCCAAAATTGGAGTCATTTCAAATCCATTCCCCAAATCAAATCCCTCTCCAAATCCCTCCAACCAAATGGACCCTTAGAGTTTAATGGATGAAAGTGATTTAAATTATATCATGAGATGTATTTTAGAGAAAGGCATGGGATGAATTATATTTGGAAATTGTTTTTGGTCTAAACATATATGCATTTAAGTCCCCTCCTTGAGGTTATATGCATTTCGCTCCAAAAACTTTAACATAGTAGAAGTTAAAACAATTCATAATAGATTGGTAGACAAAATCATTATATTCAATATAAGGTAAATTACCAAAAAGCCGCTCACGTATTCATAATTACCACACACACCCTTTGATTTGGTTGCCCTGATCTCTTAAAACAAAAGTATGAAATGTCTATAATACCCTCAATTAAGTTACATAAAACTTAAAAAAAGTTGTAAATTACACAACCCCTCCTGAAGTATGGTCTAATTGCCAAAGCACCAATTAGGTATCCATAATTACTAAAAGTATCTTAAGGTTTGATTCCATTTGACAATGACCCCCTACATGCTTAATTTCTTAAAAAGAAAATGGAAATTTTCTTTGAAGGTTTACAAAATTCAATAGCCTCTTGTAGATTCCAGCGGCGGTGGTTAGTGATCGGTGGGGGTCTTCCGTGAATTTTTGGTGAACTTCAACACCCTATAGTTTTTTTACGGATTTTCAATTACATTTCAACAACTTTATGATAAAATTGATATTTATAATATCGATATTATTATGTATTTTATTTTCAGTGAATTAAAATATAATTTTCAATTTTCGTCGATTCTGATCAAAATAATCTCATTTGGACTTTTTTCATTCCAATTTTTTATTTTTATTTTATTTATGATTTTTTTTAACGAAATTAGAATTACATTCCTGAAATTTTTATATAGTTTCTAAAGCTGAGAATTACGCCATATTTGAGAAGAGCTATTAGGTGGACCAATAGAAAATAATTAAATGAAAAAAATAATGTAAGTAGATGTAGTGAATCAAAATAATTTATACTAAAATTCGTAATATGGCCAAACACTCAAAGATCACAATTAACACAATCTTAAAGGACAAACATTACTCCTAAAACAAAAATGATAAACATTACAATAAACATGGAGGGGTTGCGTTTTTGTAATTTTCAGACTTATCAAAAGGTGTTAAGGTCAAAGCTCTTAAAACTAATGGCGACGGCCACATAGAGACAATTTTTCAAGTACAAGGGGCAAATCGATGCAATTGAGAGTAGAAGTGGGTAAAGTGATATCGAACCAAAGTACAAGGGGGAAAAGTGGAATTTACCCTTATATGAAAGCAAATTAGACTTGAAGTGTGTTTAGCAAATAACCCATAAAACAATTGAACATACATTTTTATTCTCTATACTCTTATGTATCATATTTTTCTTTTTTTCTTATTTGTTATTAGATTATAAAATAATTCGATTAAGATATAATCCATTTCAATTAAAATCTGAAACATTTAATTATTTTGATAATTTTCGTATATATTTCTAAAAAAATGAAGGATGTTGTCCTGAACTCCGCCGTTTACCGCTAATCTCCGGTGTTGACTTTTGTTTTTTGCAGCCATATACCGCTGCGGTCAAAGCCGGTCTCTAGCGTTGATTTTATTTTTCATCCTTTTTTTTACCAGAACACTTTTGTCTGGTACAAACAAACAGTAACATGACTTACTGCGTTTGACAGGTACTATCTACTATATTACCGTCTAACACAATAATACTATTATCTAACACTATAATATCAAAAATAATTAATATTACTCTGACATACAATAATATTAACAACAATATTATTGTGTTGCAAAATAATATTGTTGTGTAATACAGTAATATTATTATGTTAACTGGTCAACACATCCCAAAAAATTAATAGTATTGTGATTGACAGTAATATTACTTAATAGTACAATAATATTATTGTGTTTACCGTAGTATTGACCGGCCGCGGTCAGCGGCTGGAAAATTGTTTCCAAAAAAGAAAAGAGTTATCACCGCCGGAGACATGCATTGACAACCGGTCAGCGGCGGCAAAAAAAAGAAGAAGAAAAAGTCAAAATAAGATTTTATGGTCAAAATTGGTGAAATTAAAGTTAATTCATGGTTTACTATTATGAATTACGTTTAAGAGGAAACATGCAATCCCCCTCAAATGGAAAATATTATGAGTAAAACCCATTTGACTTTTAAGACTTTTGCCCACACCCACATTCCAATCTTAATTAGTGGAAACCCCTTTTCCAGTCATGATAAGACGTAATTACCCTTACCAGCAGTTTAAAAAATAAATCAAATATATATTTATAAAATAATTTCATAACCATTTCCTCTTTTGCAGTTGTGATTTCAGCGGGCGTGATATTCACACCTTGATTTTCTCCTGATTCTGTAGGCCTGAGTTCATTAGTCGCGGACGCAAGTCAATTTTGGGTGAGAACGACGTGTTTTGTCGTCGTCTTTTATCGCTTCGCTCTGTGTTTGTTTATTGAAGGAAAGCTATGTGGAAAAGGTTAGAGATTATGGATTGTTTTTTTTTTTTTAATACGGATTATGCTGTTTGGATCGTAAGTTTAAGCGTTTTTTTTTTTCGAACAAAATGTTATGGTATTTTGTGTCGTCCGAGGTGTACGCAAAGAATTATTATTACTCGATTTACAGAGTAGGCACGTTTGCAAAGGGTTGTGTGTGCTTTAAATGGTTTTTTTTTGTTGCGCTACTTGAAATTTAGCGTCACGTTTCAATTTTTTTTGGAGTGCGACAATTGAATTACAAGATTATTCAGTTGTAGTGCAGTGTATTTTACAGAGTAGTCATATTTGACAGAGTAGTCATGTTTAATAGATTAGTCATATTTGTCCTTTTTTTTTAGTGCTGCATATTATGTCGTCCAACATGATGGTTGTGTTGAAGTACGGAGGGTCGTTTGGGGTGAAGATATGCCAGCAATTACCTTTTGAAGAGATGATAAACTGGGGATCCCTACCGCATCTTCGTTTTCGACAAAGTAGGGATCGTATGCTTCAACACCAGAAAGAATTCTACAAAATAGAGGTCTGTGCGTACGAAATCTTCTCCTAAAATAAACACCATGATATACAGGATTATCAGAAAAGTAATCACGATAAATTCTATTATGACCTTCACCTCTATCGCAATTAATGACGCATCTACCAGGAACTGAACCACGACGATGTGTGCGTTGTCTTTCTCTCTCAGCTTCCGCCTCTTCTGTTCCTTCTATGAGCATCTCGAGATCATCAGAATCAGAGTCGGACAAGAAAGTTGTTAAAACACGTTGATTACGATGCATATTGAAATAAAGATGAAGATGATAGAAATTGTGGATAATAAAACCTGTGAACAAATGAGATATTTAAAATGTTTGATATAGATAGGAAATCCTATCGGATATCTTAACATCGAATCAACATCTAACACGTTGCAATAAAAAATCTTATCGGATATCGTAACATCGAATTATAAACTAACATGTGGATAAAAAAAATTATTATCGAAAATCTTGACATCGAATTATAAGCTGACACGTGGCTATAAAATTTGGTTACCATTTAATTTATTTTTAATAAATTTTTAATGTATATTAAATTAAATGTTTTAATATAATTTAAAGGTAGTTTACATTAAATAGTTGAATTTAAGATTATTTTTTAAATTTGATTATTAATTTGATGTTTGATGGTTGGAGTTGAATTTTTTTAATGAGATACCAAAGTACTGTAGCAGGTACCAAATAGCCATTTGATGCTTCAATTTCGCTTACTTGCCTTCGACTTGCTCTTACTTTGCAATTTTCTGGTACTTTGCATGTAACATCTAATATATTTTTTCAAGAACTTGTTGTTGTCCAAATTAGATTGAAGTCTTTGTCTAAACACCCTGATCCAAAAGTATGTCTTATGGCACTTGAAATGCAGAAAAAAATCAAGAAATATTGGGAAAGTCTTGATAACCTGAATTTTCTTGTTTATTCTGCCACTGTATTGGATCCACGCTATAAATTGAGGTTTGTGAGGTTTTGTCTTAATCAAGTTTATGAGAATAACACTACATCGGCTAATGTTATGGAAGAGCAGGTGAAGAAATTGTTGATTCGCTTGTACGAGTATTATCAAAATTGTTCTCCCTGTCAAAATTCTCAAAGTGGGGCTGCTATTTCAAGTCAGGCTCCAATTGAAGTGATGGACATGGATGATGATGTCGAGTCACGTAACTCTCTAGCTTTTCAATTTGCAAAACAAATGAAGAAAGATGCATGTGTGCAGAGTAAGTCATAACTTACTCGATATTTAGAAGAGAATTGTGAAAACAATGTTGAGTCTTTCGATTTATTGAGGTGGTGGAAGGAGAATTCTATTAGATTTCATATTCTCTCTCAATTAGCTAGAGATGTTCTGGCTATCCCCGTCTCCACAGTGGCATCCGAGTCAGCCTTTAGTACAAGTGGTCGTATTCTTGATCCATATCAAAGTTCTCTTAATACTGAAATGGTCAGGGCTCTTGTATGTTTGCAAAGATGGTTAAGATCAAAACCTGTCACAATTGATATCCATGAGAGAAGTATCTATTAAAGTGGAGAAGTATGATGAAATTATAAAAGGTAAATGTTATTTTAATTGTGTCATAATCATTTCAATGTAAAGTTATTGATTATCATATATTTGTGTGAATTTCAGAATTTGGCAGGTGCAGTATTTCAAGTGCAAAATGACTAGCTGCTGATTGTCGACAATGCTGGTAAAAGACTCGTTTTTCATGTAGTTTTCTTTATTGGCTTAAAGTTATTTATGCAATTTTAACAAATTGTTAGTTCTGTTTTTATATGACATGGAATAAACTTTAAAGTTATTTATTATAATTGTGTTAGAAATTTTTATTTCCTATAAACTTTTATTCGTCATTTAACATGGAATAAAAAAATATTTGCAGGTAATCAAGGTAAATGCAACTGGATTTTCATATTGTAGAATGATTGAAGAATGAAGAAGTGTTTTCGGTATTTTAGATTGCTTTTGATTGTTCTAGACTCTTTTTTTAATTTTTTTTGAAGTTTATTTTGATTGACAGACAGTACTTGTTTTTTGGGCTTTAGGATTTGGTTGTTTGGTTTTGTCTCATTTATCCAGATATTCTATTTATAATATGAAGTATTTTTCGCATTAATTATATATTTTTTTAACCCGCCAACCCGCCATGTTTAAAAAAAACCTAAATTGGGCAGTTTGCAATCGTAAGTGAGAGCAGGTGCAATTTGCAATTTTATGAACCCGCCAATATTGGGTCGGGTTGATTTTTTTCAGAAACCCGCCCAAACCCGCCCGTGTTCACCCCTAAGCACAGTCACATAATAGTCATATACAAAACAAGTTAAACCGTGCACATATACCAAACATGACTGTTGTCCCAAAAATTGTTTGTATACAAAAGTAAATCTCCCCCAAAATACCATGGGAAACTAATTTGGATCTACGCGCATTAAAAATAGATTTGGATTTTTCCTACTGTACATACAAAATGCTTTCCAAAATATTAGGTTTAAGTTACACATACTAACCAGCGTCGAGCTTCATAATGTCACGAGGATTGGGTCCTCGTTTGCGTTTCGATGATGCTTTCTTCTTCATTTTCAGGATGTAGATTTTGAATGTGACTACTGGTACTCAACTCCTACCAGTATATGACTAGTAATGGGCGAGGTGATGGACGATGTTGTACCAAATGTGTTCGATTTGGTATGTGACTGCAGTTTCGAAGCGAGGGAGTTTTCGATTTTGGGGGAGATTTCACTTCTTTGCGTCTTCTTCAGCGTGATTTCTGTGATTTGATTTTTTTTGTTTTTTTTTATTTTTTTATTTAGGAGCAGTTTTTTTAGGGAAAGCATATAATTAATGCTAATTAGTCGGGATTTAGGCGCCCACGTTATTAGGGATTTCGAAAATACTGGATAATTATTAAAAAAAACGTGATAGTTGTTGCAATGGTAAAATTGTGAATAAATATTTTAGGGGTTTATCACAAAGGAAGAATTATGGTATGGACATATCACCATTTCTTATCTATAGGAGGGGGTTATTGCTAATGACCTCTAAGTTTAAAGGGTTTGTAGTAATTTTGTCATATTAATATCAAATTTAAAAGAGAAAAAAACAGATGCCGTAGATTAATATGGGCTCTTTGAGAAAACCCCCACATTACTTCTTTTAATAGGGAGAGACCCAAAATATTTTGCTCCATTTGAGAAAGTCCACACCCATTTTCAGCCATTATGTTTTCCAATTTTGCCCCCGTCCGCCACATCACCACTGCGTCACGCGGTGGTCATCAACGATTTTTTTTCTTTTTCTTTTATGTATCAGTTTTATTAATCGACTATGAAGCATAGTCGATTAAGGTAAATCGTCTATGAAGCATAGTAGATTAAGGAAATTCTTTAATTTTTTTTTTTAATTTTTTTTTCTATATCAGGTATATTAATCGACTATGATGAAGCATAGTCGATTAAGAATCTGCTACTAAAAATAACAAATCACAACTGCAAAAAAATGCAAAATCAACTATATTTTACAAAAACAAAAAAAAATATACAAACATTATAATTGATTTATACAATTGGAATCAATAAACAACAAATCCAAAAAAAATAAAAAAATGGAGTCGATCAACCTTAATCGACTACTAGAGCATACTCGATTAGCTTAATCGACTATGATGAAGCATAGTCGATTAAGAATCTGCTACTAAAAATAACAAATCACAACTGCAAAAAAATGCAAAATCAACTATATTTTACAAAAACAAAAAATATACAAACGTTATAATTGTCGATCAACCTTAATCGACTACCAGAGCATAGTCGATTAGCTTAATCGACTATTGAACATCAACATAGTTGATTTTCTCATGCCTCATCCCCGTAGCCGTCGATCCACTGCGTCCTCGACGGCGAGCGCTAGTCATCAGCTTCAGCGTCGTCGGTGGAAACCACCGCCGCCAACTATTGATCCGTCACCACCCTTCACGCGGTGGCGGGAGGCGGCGGCGAACACTCTTCCACCACCACCGTCGTCGGTCGACGTCAAACATTCTTCCAGAGTCGCAGTCTGATCTCCTTCTCCGACGACGTCTTGCTTTTCCTCCGAATTTCAGTCGAGAAGAGAAGAGAGAAGAGAGAAGATGAGAATATGAGAAAAGGATAAGAAAGAAACGGCAAATGAAATGGGTTAGGGTTCTGAAACGTGAAAATGGGATTTAATATCAATAAGAGTGGTTTGAGAATTATTAAAATAGCATTTGAGTGGAATATTAACTAAGGGGGTTTTCTCTTATTTTTTAGAGGGGTGTTTCCTTAACTATATTTCCGGGTTTTTCTCTAATTTTCCCGATTAATAAGTGTTAGTGGTGGGGGAATTTCTCATAAAAACTCCTACTATCCGTTTAATAGTTATAAACATCATGATCAGATGCTAATATTAATTTAACGATCAAAGTCACCCAAGTGATGAAAGTCACATGAGTTGGTAGAGAAATTGATAAATATAACTAAAAACATAAAAAATTCATTATCTTAAGAAAAATTCAATCACAAAGAAATGGAAATAAATAGAAAGAGAGTTGTTGGAAATCATAAAAAAATGTCAATTGGTAATTTGACGTTGAGGGTACTGAATCACATGGTTGACTATTTCCTTCATTATCAGAATCAAGACTCTTGGAGAATTCACAAATCACAAATTACACATACTTGAAAACTATGCTCCAGCAAAAACTCATCCTGAAATGTTTTTGTTACTGGATCATATATCACCCAATTACATACATCCAATGGAAAGCAAATTAATAATAATAATCCTAATCCTAAACCATGTGATCCTTCTTCGTGCGGCGAAATTCGCAATATTAGCTATCCTTTCAGACTCAATACCGATCCGAAACACTGTGGCCATCCCAAATACGAACTTTCATGCGAAAACAATACAACTTCACTATATCTCAATTCTCAAAAATACCTCGTCAAAGTAATCAACTATCACAACTCTACAATCCGTCTTACCGATGCTGCCATACAGAATGACGACATTTGTTCTTTCCCCAAACACTCTCTACTTCAGGCCTTGTATGTGATTTTTGGTAAGAATTCTGCAACTTGCTTGTGTTTTCTATTTAATTAAGTGATCATTTACGCAGCTTATTTTGGATATATTACAATCTCATACTCATACACTAGACCTGACCACGGTTCGGTTCGGTTCCGGTTCCGGTTCCGAACCGCCGGTTCCGGTTCCGATTTTGGAGGAACCGGAACCGAACCGAAAAAATCCGGTTCCTTGCGGTTCGGTTCCTAACCGGTTCCGGTTCGGTTCCCAGTTAGAACCGTAGAACCGTTCGGTTCTTAATAATTTTTTGTTTTAAATTTTATATAAATATTTATATTTATATATGTATATATATATAACTTAAAAAAAACTTTAAAAAACTTAAAAAAAAACTTTTAAAAATATATTTTTTTTAAATGTTTATATTTAAATAAATTAATTTTTTTTTAAATACGTCAATTTTTTTCTTAATACTTAAATATATATATATATATATATATATATATATATATATATATATATATATATATATATATATATATATATATAGTGGCGGACCTAGCTATGGTCTAGGGTGTGCAGTTGCACACCCTTGATTTTAAACAAATAATACAGTTATACATAAGTTGGCAAGAAAAGCAGTTGGTTGAGCTTGTAAAGATGATCTTCATTTGTTATTTGGTCCCGTGTTCGAACCCCCAGCCTCTAAAAAGTTGATTTTTTTTCAAATCTTTACATTTTTCACCCTTTTTCTTTTTAAATATTTACACAATTCACCTAAAATTTTTAAATTGTAAATTTTTGGTCCACTATTTTTATAAAGTGAGATTTAATTTTTTTATTCCACAATTTAGCACCCCCTTGGCAAAAATCCTGGATCCGCCACTGTTAATATATATATATATATATATATATATATATATATAGAGAGAGAGAGAGAGAGAGAGAGAGAGAGAGAGAGAGAGAGAGAGAGAGATAAATATATATATACAGATAGATATATATATACATACAGATATATATATATAAATAGAAATACAGAGAAGTATATATATATATAGGGGCAATTTGCTATAGGTCCTCCTATAAGAGATTTTATGTCTATAAATCCAACTAATAAAATTCAATTTTTAGTAAATTTATTCTTTTTAAAGTGTCCAAAATATCCCTAATAATATATAGAAATAAAAATACCTAAAATAATATCCCATATATTTCTCCCTGCAGTTGATCTATCCATTCATAAATCTGACGTACTCTCAAATCTCAAATTTCACCGCTCCAAAAAATCGATTTCATCAAATCCAACGCTACCAAACATCGGTTTCATCAATAACAAACCCTAGCAAGAAATTGAACCGTGTCTGCCGGGTCCTCGAACCGTTTGCGATTTACAAACTTCCGTTTTCTGTTTACGTTGCGGAACCAGATTATTGTTTTTTTTTTGGCTATTTGGAGATCGTTTGTTGTGTGAAGACATCGTATGTGGTTTTGTCGTTTGTTGTTTGCTATTTCTACAATGGCTCAAAAACGATTTAGTCTCGGTAAGCAATACTCCTATTTGATTATTTGATTTTTTCAATACTTATTCAAAACCCCTCCTTTTTTTTCCTGGACATCGAACGATGATTATGATTTTGAATCCCCAAAATAAGGTATAAATTGCAGGGTTTGTTAATGTTATTAGTATATTCACGCTAACTTGAAAAAAAAGACCTGTTTTTTAAGTATGCACCTTTAATTTCTTGAGATAAAAAAATTGATTATTGCTAGTGTGAATTTGGTATACCGAGTTTGCAGTTTACTGTTCCAAAACTTTTATTATGAGTTTGCACTTGCTATATTGAGTTTGCCTTTTTGTATTTAGGTAACCTTATGAAAATTTTGGTTTGCATTTAGATTGAAATCTAAAAAAAATAGTATGATTTGAATTTTGCTATTTAGAGTTTGCACTTAAATTTTTAGTATGATTTGAGTTTGCATGTTGTTGCGGTTAATTTGATATTCAAATTACTAGGGAATACATGTAGTTGTTTTGCAATCAGATGTACATTTCTAATTGCAGTTTGCACTTTGCGATTCTCTATTATAATTGAAGTTGTTATTAGTTGTTTGCAGTTCATGTTTGGTCTTAATTGAAGTTGTTATTACCTATTTGGAGTTCATGTCCGTATTTATACGATGAACTGTTGTTTTCATCTGCAATTAATTTTTGCTATTAATATTTGTTGTTTGCAATCACAATATTTTTTGTTTGCTATTTCTTATATCTGCAATTAATAAATTGTGTTTGAAGTTTGCAATTTATTTTTTGTAGGTTCAAGATTGTACATTATATTGTATGTTTACCTAGTCCTTGCACATACATGTTAATGAGGAAGCATGATGGACGTGCTAAACAGAAAGCATAAGTCACATTGTAGTGACATATTATGCTATTCCTTGGGTATGATAAACATTTATGCTCGTGGGAGCGTTTCAACTCATACATGCCTGGGTAAATGAAGAAAGATGACCATTTTCGGTTGATGCTGCTAACATGAAGAAGTTCTCGAGAATAAGAGTGACAAAAAATATTGTTTAATTATTTTACATTCACTTTGTTCTTTGAAGTTTAATTTATTATTTGCATCAAATTTAATTTCTTGTGAAAATATTACCATATTAGCAAACTTATCACAATTTTTAATTGACATTTTTTTAGATTATCGTTGCACATTCTATAATATTGTTATAAATTTTATTTCTATTTCAAATTGCAATTTGCAGATTTTTATTTTTTATTACAAACTTAATTTATCATTTTAAATAACTTTGATTTTTTATTAAAACAAAATCAATTAGAAAATACAAACACAAATTATAATTTAAAGTATACATAAATACATGAAGGAGATAAGAAGAGAGAGAGAGAGAATATGTTGGATGTGAGAGAAATATGGGACTATGGGTGCGTATGTGTATGTGTGTGAGAGAGAGATATGTGCTTATGTGTATCCGTGTGTGTGAGAGAGAGGGAGAGAGAGAGCGATACAGAGACGCGAGAGAGGTGAAAGAGGAGAGAGGAGAGAGAAATGGTAGATAGAGTGATATGTGGGATTTAATCCCTTATTTAAATCAATAATTTTTTAATATAAATATTAGTGGGGATATTTATGTCCACATACTAATAATTTTATTTCATTTATATTAATCTTATTAATTAAAGGACCTATGCCTATATTCATCTAATAGAATGGATCTCTACCTATATAAGTCCAAAATAAGGGGTGTCTAGCAAATTTTCCCATATATATATTTATATATGTATATCTGTGTATGTATATATATATATACAGAGAACCATGGGCCGGTTTTCGGCCCGAAACCGGCCCGGTCCCGGAACCGTGAACCGGCCCGTGTACCTCGGGTCGGCCCGGTAGTTCACCCAAATTTAAAAAAAAAAATTTAAAAGGGGTTTTTGTGCATTAGTCCCCAACCAAATATCTTTATTATTCTTGGTTGAGGGGCTATATCTCTTTCACCAATAAGCCCATCCCTTTAATATTTATTATAAATAAAGGAAACATTCATGTATATGACAATATTTCCCCCAACCCTTTATATCCAATTCTTAATTGTAACCCCAATTTAATCTATTTTGTCCACAAAAATCCAATTTTGATTTTGTTTTTCAAAATAAAAAATTTTGCCGCCGGATTCTGGCATTGACTTTTCGAATTATTTTTTATTTTTATTTTCTTCCGGATTTTTTCGCCGGTTTCCGGCGTTGACTTTTTTTTTTTTTTTTTTGCTTGTCCGTTTTTTTCCGCCACCGGATTCCGGCATTGAATTTTTTGAGTGTTTTTTTTTAGTTTTTTTTTTTTTTTTTTTTTTGCACGTCCGCCGCTACACGTTGACCGTAATTGTGCTGTTACTGACAGTAAATTAACGTAATTATACTGTCAATGACAGTTCATTAACGTAATTGTACTGCCGTTGACAATACATTTATGTAACTGTTCTGCCGTTGACAGTAAATTAACGTACTATTATTATTTTTTATTTTTTATTATTATTTTTTTATTTTGTTTGATTTGTTGACAAGTCAACGTAATTATATTACTGTCGTTGACAATAAAATAACTGTAAACACAATAATATTACTATCAACAGCATCAATATTATTATTTTTTTGGGTTTTTTGTTTTGTTTGAGTTATTCACGGAGTAACGTAATAATATTACTGTCTATTATTGTAATTTTACTGTGGTTGACGGTAATATTACTGTTGTTATAGTAATATTACTGTCACTCACAGTAATATTAATTCTTTTGGCTTTTTATTATGTTTGCATTTGTTGAACAGTCAACATAGTAATATTACTCTATTACACAATAATAATGAGTTTTGTTGTGTTAATATTACTGTGCTAGAGATTAATATAGCAATATTGTTGTGTTAAACTGCAGTTTAGTTAATTTTACTGTGTTTCACAGTAATATAGTTAATATTACTCTCAATCACAGCAATATTGCTGTTTAAACGAAAAAAAAAATGTTACAAAAAGAAAAAATAAAAAAATCGAAAAAGTCAACGCCGGAGACCGGCGAAAAAATACGGAAGAAAAGACAAAAAAAAATGAAAAGTCAACGCCGGAATCCGGCGCGAAATTTTTTTTTTGAAAATATTTGTTTTTTTGAAAAAAAAAAGTTTTGGGTTAAAATTGAATAATTTGTGAAATTTGAGGTCAAATTGAAGTTAAATTAAGTTAATGATGAAATTGGAGCATATTAAAATATGAGGGGCTATTTTAGTCCTTTACAAAAATCTGGACCATGTATGGACTTATTGGTAAATGAGTTTTTTGTCTTCATCTCTTTATGAATAAGTACCCACTGATGGGCTTATTTGTATATATATATATATATATATATATATATATATATATATATATATATATATATATATATATATATATATATATATATATATATATTTCGGTAATATCTTTGAGTCCTTCACTTGTATTAATGATTGTTGTCTTGTTATACTTCTTTCAGCTTTTATACTTACGACCTACCTAGGACTGAGGATCTTAATTGGATTGCCTTCCTTGTTTGTGCTTCTGATCATTAAATTTCGAAAAAGGCATTTGTCATTGTTTAGTACAATAGAAGCGTTCCTGCAAAGTAACACAAGTCTCACAACAATTCGATATTCCTACTCAGACATAAGAAAAATGACAAGAGGTTTTCGTGAAAAACTAGGCGAAGGGGGTTATGGTTCGGTTTACAAAGGGAAACTTCGAAGCGGCCATGATGTAGCCGTCAAACTACTCAACAAGACTAGAGCAAATGGGCAAGAATTCATCAATGAAGTTGCAACGATTGGAAGGATCCATCATGTAAATGTGGTTAAACTTGTCGGATATTGTGCAGAAAGATCCAAACGCGCCCTTGTCTATGACTTCATGCCTAACGGCTCCCTCGAGAAGTACTTATTTAGCAAAGAGACAAGTAATTGGCTTAGCTTGGCGAGGAAGTTTGAGATTGCAGTTGGAGTTGCTCGTGGAATTGAATATTTCCACATAGGATGTAACATCCAAATCCTACATTTCGACATAAAGCCTCACAACATACTTCTAGATGATAATTTCACACCCAAAATCTCCGATTTTGGACTCGCAAAGTCTTATTCAACGGAGAATACAGCGGTGACTCTCACTGCAGTTAGGGGAACAATAGGGTATGTGGCTCATGAACTAATGAATAGAAGCATTGGCCGTGTTTCTTACAAGGCCGATGTTTATAGCTTTGGAATGTTATTGATGGAAATGTTAGGGCTAAATAGAGGTACGAGGCATAATGACAACAAATCTAGCCAATATTTCCCATATTGGATTTATGATCACTTGAATGAAGGCAACGACATCGAAATTGGAAATGCCGATAAAAATGACTATGACGATGATGACGATGACGACGACAATGCAAGAAAAATGAGAAGAAAGATGACAATAGTTGGATTGTGGTGCATACAAATGAGCCCAACTGATCGCCCGTCAATGAGTGAAGTTTTAAAAATGCTCCAAGGGGAAATCAAAAATTTGCAAATTCCTCCTCAACCTTCCCAGTTACCTGATATTGAATACTTCAATGATCAAAATTGGGACACAGAGTCAACTGGTTCTATGGCCTTGTTGAATGACCATCTCAACAAAAAGTTTAACCGATTAGTGAAATGTATTATTTAATATTAATATCTCCAATACACCCCCTCAAGTGCAGATGAATTACATTTGAAGCCTTGCACTTGAAATATTTGAAATGGGTGGCAGTAGGATTCAAACTCAGGACCTTTCATTTGGCTTGACTTTGATATCGAATGACCATCTCAACCAAAAACTAAAGACATTAATGAAATATATTATTTAATATTAATATCTCCAATACTACTTTTCTTTTCTGATAATTATTGTAGGATTATATGAATATGTATGCATTGTCATCTCCCAACAATTCATTATGGCCAACACAGATGTAAAAACTTGTCTGATAGCTATTCTAAAAGGCAATATCTTTGGTCAAAATGCAGAGTAGCCAAATATGAACTTTATTTCTCTAAACTAAAACAAAAAAAAATTATATGGGATTTATTGCGCTATCTACTTATGTGTTTACTCTAATTTTTATAAAAAAAAAATGGAAAGTACAGTTTGCACCCTTGAACTATGTGTGTTGTCACAAACACCCCCTTGAACTACAAAACGTAACAAAATGGCCCCTCCGTTTCAAATCCGTTTGTGTATGATGATGTGGCGAGTTGACTTTGTCATTTTTTTAATTACTTTTGTAGCTGCAACATATTTTGACATTTTTACCCTCAATATGCTACATCTGCATCTCTCTCTCTCTCGATATACTGTATACATACACGTTCTTGTATGAACGCACATGTTCTTATAATAAATATTTATAAATATACATAATTTAATTACAAAATAAATTAATTATTTAATTCATATTTTACCAATAAATACACTAAATTAACCCAAAACAAAATTCAAAAAATTGTAAAACTTTGCCTCCAAGTACCCCAAATCAGTTAATCAATATTTCTATTCTCTCTCTTGCGAACTTTGATACGCGATATTTATGTTGGTGTTGGATCCCATCAGAAAATAATTACAGAAATCAGCGCTATTGGTTAGCCACTCGTCGGTGGTGGTTATCGACGGAGACAACCAACGCCGAAATTTCGTCGGCGATTTGAGAAGGTAACAAAAGGCGTGGGACATGATTGTGTGAGCGCTGCCTAGGAGGAATCCTCCCATGCGCTGTGATAGTAAACGACGAGGGGCAGTTTGGATGCCGGAGCGGGGAAAATTTTCGTCGAGGGGAGATACAAGGATGAATACTCCCCTATGATAGTAAATGACGAGGGGCAGTTTGGATGCCGGAGCAGGGAAAAATTCCAGCGAGGGGAGATACGAGGATAAATCTTCGTTGGTGGGAATGTGTTTGCTGGGTGATGCGATCTCTTGTGTATCATAAGATTTCTTTACTGAACGTAAGAAAACTCTTGTTTATTATTTCTCTTCATTATAAAAACCCTAGCACAAGACGACTATTTAAAGATAAAACCCTAGAGTCCTAATCTAATTAAGAAATGTAATTACCTATACTAATTAAATACCTAATAATCTCCTAACCACTACTAACTCACGGCCATCTATAACCCTAAACAACTATTCTATTTAATTAATAATTAAATACTGACTAACTAATAATTAAACGATATATTTAATAATATATCGTATCAAACCACCCCTCTTGAAATGAACCTTGTCCTCAAGGTTCGAGTCAATTTGGTCCCTCTTCTTTGCGTTTCCACCTATGTTTGACTTCATCGACTTGCTTATCAACTTGCTTCCCGATTGACTCCGAAAAACACGATGAACGACCAAGCTTTTTAACACATTGTTCATGCTGATCCAATGAAATTTCACAGGCCATTTTAGCGAAAATATTCAATCTTTTTCCCGACAAATAAAATTTTTCAATCGTCTTTTTAGATTTTATCTCATCCAAACTGACCATCGGTTCTTCGTCTTCTTTCTTTTGAACACCATGAAAATTTCCTAATATCCATTGTGTCTCTTCGTTCTCCTCCCTGGTTAATTTCTCGTCTTCATCCCACTTTACCTCAGTTGACTCCGATTCTTCTTCTTTCGACTCTTCGTCCCACTTTATCTCAGTTGAATCCGATTCTTCTTCTTCCGGCGAACTCACAAAAATTTGGGGTTCTTCGAAAAAGTCATCGTCGTCCTCTTCCTCTTCCTCCGGGAATAGGCTCGGCAGCGGCATCGGCAGTGGCGGTGACGGGCGGCGGTCCCTTCGGCTTTTGTGATGGCGTTGACGTCGTCCTTGACTTTGTTCGAGCAATTTCTGAAAATCAATCCGTAATTTCTCCACGGATTTCTCCAATCGCTCCAACCGTCTTGTTTCTGACATCATAATTTTCACAAAGTTTTGATGTGATCTCAACTTTGCTCCAGCTTAGCTTTGATATAATCGCTACCTTGCTAACGAAGCGTTGGTGTTAATCGCAACTTCGCTCTGATACCAATTGATGCGATCTCTTGTGTATCATAAGATTTCTTTACTGAACGTAAGAAAACTCTTGTTTATTATTTCTCTTCATTATAAAAACCCTAGCACAAGACGACTATTTAAAGATAAAACCCTAGAGTCCTAATCTAATTAAGAAATGTAATTACCTATACTAATTAAATACCTAATAATCTCCTAACCACTACTAACTCACGGCCATCTATAACCCTAAACAACTATTCTATTTAATTAATAATTAAATACTGACTAACTAATAATTAAACGATATATTAACGATATATTTAATAATATATCGTATCACTGGGGACCGAAGATTTGGGATCGGAAGAGGCGGCGATTGGGGGAAGAATCCCGGCCGACGTGTGATGGAACCATTGAAGTTTTGGGTTTATTCCAGGTGGGAAGAAGCGTGCCCATTAACGTTAACTCAGTGATACCATTGACATGTTGAAGAAGAGAAGAAGAAAGAATTGATTAGTCTAACTTTTTAAATTAAATACATTTAAGGGTAATTAAGTAATTTCCCAGAAAAACTAACGGTGTTAATTTTCTAATGTTTGACCAAAAATCGGAGGGGCCATTTTGTTACGTTTTGTAGTTCAGGGGGTGTTTGTGACAGACCCCATAGTTCAGGGGTGTAAACTGTAGTTTCCCCTAAAAAAAAATACAAAAGTAACTAATGCTACCGCAACCTAAGAAACACTTTTTTATTCTCTAATTTTCACTTTTAAAATACTATCCCGTGCTTAACGAACACCAGCCCCTGCCCCAAAAGGTGGCATTCTCACTGCGATTCGATCACTACGCATAAATTCTTGGATCATACTCCGCGTTTCTTCTTTCCCGATTTCTATGAAAGGTATGGCTCTTCCGTTTTGCCTTTTCTGCGTTTATAAGTTTTGTGTGGCGTATAGGCATTCGTGGTGGTGATTCCTCTATTTTTTGTTTGTGGGTTTTGGTAACATGATCATGCTCTGGTTTTTGAATTTCAACGTGCTGACGTGTTGTTGAATATTCTTATGATAAATTTTGATTTCGGTTTCTTGTCGGGAGTTTGTTTCTACGATTCTTGATTACCTTCGAGTTTTTTTTTTTTTAAAATGTTTTGGTGTAACCGTTACTTGGTGAAATTAACTGTGTAAGAAAAATTGTGATGAATTATAGGAGGAATATTTAGTCTTTCAATTCTTTAGTTATCGGTGCAAATTTTTCTTTTTATGTTTTTTACTTGTTTGTTGAGTAATTTCATGGAAGTCCCGGTTGATGTTGTATCTAATTTATTTTCTTGGTTCTCCAACTATTTTATACATTTCTTAATTTCTTATCCAATTCTTGTTTTTCATTTTCTTTTGGCAGAACTTGTTGGGAAGTGCTTCAAGTGATAAACCAATTGATAGTTTAAGATGTGAAAACAAAAAATTTAACCCGCTACAGCAGCAAAAACAAACGAAATGGCAAATGGAGGGACCATTTTGTTACGTTTCGTAGTATAGGGGGTGTTTGTGACATGTCTCATAGTTCATGAGTGCAAACTGTACTTTCCCCTAAATTATATTTACTGAAAACAAAATGCTTTTTTTTCCGAATTTAATATATTAATGGGGTGAAGATTGATACTTTCATAAATTGTTTCTTTAAAATATTCTATTACAATTAATATTATTTAAAATATATTCAAATATAATATAAAGGTCAAAACAAAATTTATTTAATAAATAGTTTTATATTAATTTTTATTTCAGAGTGAAGTATTTTTTTTTTTTGAGTAATCAGAGTGAAGTATTTTAAACGTTATAGTAATTTTTCCGCCGGATTTTGGCGTTGACTTTTAAAAATATTTTTTTTTTCTCTTCCGGATTTTTTCGCCGGTTTCCGGCGTTGACTTTTTCGATTTTTTTTCTTTTCTTTCTTTCTGTAACTTTTTATTTTCGTTTAAACAACAATATTGCTGTGATTGACAGTAATATAAACTATATTACTGTTAAACACAGTAAAATTAACTAAACTACAGTTTAACACAGTAATATTGCTATATTAATCTCTAGCACAGAATTATGAACACAACAAAACTCATTATTATTGTGTAATAGAGTAATATTACTATGTTAACCGTTCAACAAATGTAAACATAATAAAAAACCAAAAGAATTAATATTATTGTGAGTGACAGTAATATTACTATAACAACAGTAATATTACCGTCAACCACAGTAATATCACAATAATAGACAGTAATATTATAACGTTACTCCGTGAATAACTCAAACAAACAAAAAAATCCAAACAAGATAATAATATTGATGTGGTCGGCAGCAATATTACTATAACAACAGTAATATTACCGTCAACCACAGTAATATTATTGTGTTTACAGTAATATTACAATAATAGACAGTAATATTATTACGTTACTCCGTGAATAACTCAAACAAAACAAAAAACCTAAAAAAAATAATATTAATGTTGTTGACAGTAATATTATTGTGTTTACAGTTATTTTACTGTCAACGACAGTAATATAATTACGTTGACTTGTCAACAAATCAAACAAAAAAAAAATAACAAAAAAAAAATAATAATAATATTACGTTAATTTACTGTCAACGGCAGAACAATTACA